GGTTAGAGAAACTAAAATGGGACACATTTCCTTTTAGTGAGGCTGTCGTTGTTTCCCCCCTTTTCCTGAGAAATGAGCAGAGCTCTAGATTTTCTCAAAATTAAGAAAATTTATAGAAATACGAAAAAATGCTTTTTTTCATTTCCAACCCGAGAAAATACCTAATTGAGAAAACAACAATTTCCTACAATTTTCTCATGGGTGCAGGTTCTATAGAGCCAAGGCTCTAAACCAGTGATTTAAAAATTGGATCGGTTCCCCGGATCGGGCACTTCAAAAACCCATCCAGATCGATGAATCGACCATCCGGATCGGGAATCGACCGATTCGGTCGGATTAAACTCTAAAAAAATCCAAAACAATTATTAAAATTAATTGTAAATGTTGTCTTTTAGGAATCCAATAAGAAATGAGGGTACTCCATTGTTAACTTTCACTTTTTTCATCAATTTGTGAATATTGATATGTTTTTTCTTTATATAAACTTATGTTAATTATTAAATTTACATCACACATAAGAAAAATCATATAATTATCATGGATAAAATATATAATCATACCTGGACTACTAGTAGATTTAATCGATAAAAAATGGCCACAAAAGCTCAAATTGGCAGAAAGCCCTAATCCCCTAAAAAAACCTAAATTATTACAAACTAACTAACTATAATCCAAATTTATTACAACCTAACTAATTATAACATTATATGTTGAAATTAAAATTATTCTTTTAAATTTTATAATTATTTTATTATACAAATAATACCAAATCCAAAATAGTTTGTAATACGATCTAATTTAAAATGTATTATTGTGAATTGTAAGAAAGATAATAAATTACATGATTTATAATACAAAAATTAATAAATAAAATAAAAAATTTGGTTAGAAATTATTAAAATGCATACCAATTTTCGAAAGAACACTTTAATTTTTCAAAATTTTAATTTTTTAGATTTTTAGAATAAATTTAGTAAAAGAGATTGTTAATAGAAAGTGAGAGATTTCAAATAGAATAAATTTATTTAAAAAAATAATTTTTTAGATTTATAGAATAAATTTAGAAAAAATGATTGTTAATAGAAAGAGATATTTCAAAAAAAAAATTTAAAAAAAAATTTTATTTTTACTTATTTTAGTTGTAAATAAAAATAAAATAAAATGTGTCCAAGGAGGAATCGAACTTGAGAAGGTAAAGACTCTACCATTGAAGTGATAACCACTCCGCCACATCAACGCAAGTGTAATTGCTTTCTATATTAATAATACTTATTCAAATTCCGTCATAATTTAACACAACGTGGGAATTATCTCACATCTAACAGCGAGTTTTAGTTTGCATCTATAAATTGCTTTGTAAGTTTCAAAACTGTTGTGCACGTGTGCCCGAAGTTACTATCCACGCGCGGCTGATGGGAAACAGTGTTGTTTTGACACGCGCTATTCATCTTTGATTATAAAATTTAAAGCTTAAAAAATACATCGAGTAGATTTATGAAAAGTTAAAAACTTTAAAAATTGACGGTCTAAAAATGCGTTACAAGATGCACTATTTTTAAAACTTAAAATTTATTTTTTTTTCTCGTGCCCAAGCATATTGATGATGAGATAATCATTTGAGGATATTTAAAAATCAAAGCAACCCCTTCCACTCAAATTTTTGAGGTAGTCCCTAATTTGATCGTTTAGAGCCTCGACTCTATATAGAAGATGAGATAATCATTTGAGGCTATTTAGAAATCAAAACTACCCCTTCTACTCAAATTTTTGAGGTAGACTCTAATTTTATTGTTTAGAACACGGCCTACGAGTACGTGCGCACGTTCCCATTTCGTTTTCCTAAGGCAAGGAGGTCTGGTCGTTTGGATAAAAAGGAAACAAACCTTGGGCAATTTCGTCCACTGTGAAAGCACAATGCCGAATGACACCGATCTCTTTAAATATTGGACGGTCCAGATTCCTCGCACAGGAAATTATCAACTAAGACCGTACCTTAGCAGACCCTTACCCGAAGGCTAAGGGCTATCTACATGCCCATGGTGGCCCACAAAAAATTGTACACGTGTCAATCATCGACTGGAAGTGGAAAGCGAGTACACATTCCGGCAGAACGAACGGACAGTGATGATTACGGGACCCACAATTGCATTAGGACTTTAAAATCATTAATAATGGAGGGAAAAACTTTACTCCCTGCCTCTCTTTTATGTGAAATGTACTCCGTTTACTTTGAAAGCATAATTTGTTTTTACTCGTATAGTTAGAGAGGTTTTTTTCCATCCAGGTGTAGGATTTTAAAATATTAACATTAAATTTGATTCGAATTATTAAAAAATTTATTATATGTGTATGGGATTTGATTTTTTTAAATATCTATATCAAATTTAATGGTGATCTTTTAGAATCCCACATACATTAATAAAAGAGGGTCCTATAGGATCATTTCTCTTTTTGTTTCAATTTCAAATTTTAGGAGCTATATAAGAGTTACTAGATAATTATTTCAAAAAATAAAAATAAAAATATTATTTTTTAAGATGTGGATCTTACCAATTGAAATTTGGATGGTCTTTATTCAATCTCGAAATATTATGTTTTTCAAATGCAAAAAGAGTACAATTAGGAATGGGAAATTATCAAAAATATACCTTTATTTTTTTCAAATTGAAAAAAAAAAAAACTTCAACTTTAATAAACTCTATCCACCCCATTTTTTTGGCTGTTTTTTACCAAAATAGCATTCACAGTAGTCGTATTATTGTGAAGCCCTAGCATTAAGTACCGTAATGACTCCTCATTTTATACGGCATTTTAAAGTCCGTGATAACTCAAAGTATTTTAAATGCCAAAATTAAAGAAAAAGGGTGTGGACGAAGTTTACAAAAATTAAAAAAAAAAATTAAATTTGTCAAAAAATTAAGGTATATTTTTTATAATTTCTCTTTTTATTTAAATTAATCTACATATTAAAAGTTACATCCCCAAAAATTATTATCCTAAAATTAAATCGAAATATGATTTTGCCGGAGGGAGTAAATAGACAATCTATTCCTGCCGGTAGAATATGTTTCGGCTTTTGTTTGTGAAAGCAAACACCCAACCGCAATCCTGCGGGTGGTAGAATATCTTTTGGCTTTTGTTTGTGAAAGCAAAAACCCAACCGCAACGTTAGCCTGTGCATGCAGAATATTTCCCTACATCAAATGTTTAAAAAGAGGTATCTTTTTAGTGAGAGAAAATCTTAGTTCCCCCTTTTAGTGGGAGAGAGGTGGATGAGGAATGCGGGGTTCAAAAGGGGGTATACTCTTAATGCATCTTTTTTTAGTGAGAAGAATTGTTGGCACTTTGGGATAACATCTTTGACACTTTGTCAAGAAATATGAAGCTTCTCCTCTCCATTTTTTTTTTTTCCCATTAAAGAAAAGTAATATAATGCTGGGGTTCTTCTCTAGTGCGACATCACTAAACCTTAGAAAATCATCATCATGATGGTTTTTTTCCAATTAATTGAAATCGACTACATAAATCCTAATTCGTCATTCGACTCTATTTAAGGTTATACTCTCAGTTAGACTATAAATCTCCATATCTTTTTGGACTACCTCCAACCACATCCTTTTAGACTTACCCCACACCTTTTTCAATCCTTCCACTTCAACTAACTCACACCTCCTAATAAATATTATATTGGGTCAACACCACACATGGCTAGCCCACATAAATCATAAATCTACTCTCTTGTATTATCGTTTATTAATGCCACACCTCGAATGGATTCATTTCGGATTCTATCTCTTCATATCTTGCCACTCATCCATCTCAACATTCTCATCTCCGCTACACTCATTTTATGGGTATATTGTTTTTTGTCCGTCCAACATTCTGCTTATAAAGCAAAATTGATCTCACAATTATCCTATAGAACTTACCTTTCAGCTAAGAAAATACTAGGTAAAATATTGAATTATCAATTTTACGAACATGTCGAGTCCCTCAATGTCATGAATAAAATTCCTCTTTTTTCATTTTTCTCCCATAAAATGGAATCGTGATTTTCATTTTGAATGTTTCTTGAGAAATCATTTGAGTGCTCTCTCTCTCTCTCT